AAATATCTGCAACAACTTTTCTAAATCCAATATGCATAAGATTAACAACTCATATGTTTCCTTTTAAACAATATTGTCGTACCCTTTTTTCGTCTCTTAAATAATTTGGTGCATGTTGTTACTTTTTTTAGGAAAAGTCAATCATGCGTGGTCTTTATTTTTTATTTTCAATTTTGCATTTAATTCAAGATTAATTTCAAAAAGTCAATGTTTGTGTTTTTGTCAAATTAATTTCATTTGAAACCTATTTTTTGTCTTTTTAAATTCAAAATTATTTAGTTTTTATTTTGATTTACTTTTAATTTTCAATTTATTTTAAAGTTAAACTCTTTTTTCTTTGTTTAATTGTTTTTTAATTCATTTGTGAGCTAGATTACAAGCCATTAGTCATGACTCGAGCCATTTTTTAAGGTTCTCTCCAAGCCAAAATTCAAGTGTTTATTTCTAAGCCATTTGTGAGCCAATTTGAAGCCAAGCCAAGTTTGCAATTTGGAAGCAACATCTCACATTATTTCTCACGTTTTTTTTCCACATCAGTAACATAATTTCAGATTCCAAATTTCACCTCAGAATTTCATAACAATTCAACCAAAATTTAAAATTCATTACACTTACAAATTCAAATTACAAAACAAAATTTCTAACAGAACTCACATCTCACCATGATTGCATCTTAACCTCTCAATAAAATTTAATCAAAGACCACAACAAGTTAACACTTATCTCACCAGAAAACCGTCGGAGAAGGAGGTAGTCAATTTGATTTCCATACTTTTTCCTTGTTTTCTTGATGCTACAATATTCCCCATACTCCATTAATTCAAACCCCTCAAATGATTTTACAAAATTGTTACTAATGGTTATTTAATTTTTGTTTAGAAATTTAGGTTTTTGGATTATATCTTTTCAATTTGGTTTGGTGGATGATTTATTTTCTTAGTATTGGATTCGGGATTATAGAGGAAAACTGATTTGGATATCATGTTCGATTAGTTGAAAGTGGCCTTTCTTGCTGGAGCTTACGGCTTGGAAGGGCTACATTTTCTTTTAATAGTAGAGGATGGAAGAACAACGTAATGAAAGAGATGAAAATGAGACCTTATGAGATAGAGTACTGAACTGATTAATCATATGCCTCTCCTTGTTATTCCTTTTATTTATGTATTTTTTGTTTTAATTGTTTTAAATATTTCGCCATGTACCCATCTCCTATTAGCTAGTCAAAATTCTTCTTCTTTTTTTCTTACAAAATTTTTCTTAATTGAAAAATAAATAAATAAAAAAGTTTGTGAGGAAATCAAGTGTGTCCAAATCTTTAGAACCGATGGTTGTTTAGTGTTGACCTACTTGACTTGTTGTGTTGACCTTTTCCTTTATCCTTCTTAAGCAATCGACAATCAGACTTATAATGGTCGACTCTTCCATAATTATACTTGGGAGTGACTTTGTGAAAAGGTCTGCAAGATTATCACATGAACAAATTTGTTGGATGCTTATATCACCACTCTTTTGAAGATCATGAGTAAAAAAGAACTTTGGAGAAATTTGTTTTGTCCGGTCTCCTTTAATGTAACCATTTTTCAATTGAGCGATGCATGCAATATTATCTTCATATATGATCGTTGTATTTAATTTTTTAGAAGATAAACCACAATTGTTTTAATTATGCTAAATTAAGGATCTCAACCAAACGCATTCTCGACTTGCCTCATGTAATGCTAAAAGTTATGCATGATTAGATCATGTTGTTGCTATGGTTTGCTTCATCGATCTCCATGAAATAGTTGTACCCCCACACGTAAGTAAATGACATGTTTGTGATCTACCATTATGAGGATCTCACAAGTAACCTACATCTGCATAACCTGTTAATTTGAATTTGAATACTTTGGTATAAAACAAACCCATGTCTATTATACCTCTAAGGCAATGAAGTATATGTTTGACTTTGTTCCAATGTCTTCGTGTAGGTGAAGAATTGTATCTTGCTAATAGATTGACAACAAATAATATATCAGGACGTGTATAATTAGCAAGGTACAATAGTGCTCCAATTGCACTGATATATGGTACTTCAGGACCAAGCAATTCTTCATCTATTTCTCGAGGTCTGAATGGATCTTTCTCCATATCTAATGATCTAACAAGCATTAGGGTAGACAACGGGTGACATTTGTCCATATAGAAGCATTTTAACATGTTTTCTATATCGCCTTCTTGATGTACAAATATTCCTTTGTCCAAATATTCAATTTGCAAATCTAGACAAAATGTTGTCTTTCCTAGGTCCTTCATCTCAAATTCTTTCTTTAAATAATTCATAGCTTTTGGAAGTTCTTCAGGAGTTCCAATAATATTTATGTTATTCACATAAACAACTATTATTGCAAATTCCTTTCCCGATCTTTTTATAAAATTATAGGGAAAAATGAAGTTATTTGTATATCCCTTTCTAATCAAATATTCACTAAGACGATTATACCACATCCGTCTAGATTCTTTCAGCCCATAGAGAAACTTGTTCAATCTTATGGAGTAGCTTTCTCGAGATTCAGAGTCATGTGCATCTGTTATATTGAACCCTTCAGAGTTTCATGTAAATTTCACTATCAAGTGAATCATACAGATAAGCTATTACAGCATCCATCATGTGCAAATTAAACCCTTCATGTGCAACAAGGCTTATTAGATATCTAAAAGTGCTTGCATCCATTACAGGTGAATATGTTTCATCAAAATCAATTCCAGTTCTTTGTAAAAATCCTTGAGAGACAAGTCGAGATTTATATCTCACAATTTATTTCTTTTTTTTCATTTCATTTTCGTACGAAAACCCATATGTATCCAACTGGCTTCACACCTTGAGGTGTTCGGACTACAAGTTTAAAAACTTGTCTTTTGTAGAGTGAGTTTAATTCTACTTCAATTGCATCTTTCCATTTTGGTTAGTTCTCACTTTGTCTACAAATTTTAATGGATGTTGGTTCGTGATCCTCTTTTCCATTTATCTCATTTAACTCTATATTTAATGCAAAGACATCATCAATGTCGACTTCATTCTGGTTCCATTGTATTCTATTTTGGACATAATTTATCGAGATATCTTTATTTTCATGATTTTCAGGTACCTGATCAATCTCTTCTAGAGGTGAAATATTTATTATGTCTAATGCTTCTTTTATATTTCCTATATCTCACTTGGGCCATCTTTATTCTTAGCTCCCTTTATTGTTCGAAGATTTTTATCTTTGGAAGAGATTGGTCTTCCATGCTTCAGGTGTTGTTGAGACTCATTAGTTTGTCCAACGGGGATATAAATTTTTATTTGAGCATTCACAACTGGTATATATGATTCAGTCACATCTTTTGGATCAATGAATGCATTTGGTAATTCATTTTCTAAGTTTTGCAGCTGAATTATCTTTGGAACTTCTAGTTCATATTGTTTTATTCGAGGATCAAAATGAGATAACGGTAACTCATTCCAACTTATCTTTTTTTCCAGCTTCTTATTCTCTCCCCCCCTAATGCTGGAAAATTTGATTCATGAAAATGACAATCAACAAAATGAGCAGTGAATAAATCTCCTGTTGTTGGTTCAAGGTACTTTACAATTGATGGAGATTCATATCCAACATATATTCCCACTATCCTTTGAGGACCCGTCTTATTGCGTTGTGGTAGAGAAATTAGAACATACATCGCACATCCAAAAATTCTTAGATGGGAAATATTAGGTTCTTTACCAAAAACGAATTGTAAAGGGGAAGATGTGTGGTGACTTGTTGGTATGATGCGAATCAATGTTGCAGCATGCAAAATTGCATGTCCCCAAGCAGAAATTGGGAGTTTGCATCTCATAATAAGTGGTCTTGCAATTAATTTTATTTGTTTTATAAATTATTCTGCAAGTCCATTTTGTTTATGAACATGTGTTATTGGATGTTCAATGTCAATTCCAATAGACATACAATACTCATTAAATGCTTGAGGTGATAATTCGGTAGCATTATCAAGACATATTTTTTGACAGGATAATCGGGAAAATGAGCTCTTATTCGAATTAGTTGAGCCAGCAATCTAGAAAACGCATGGTTGTAAGTTGACAACAAACAAATATGTGACCATCTAGTTGATGCATCAATTAAAACCATAAAATATCTAAATGGTCCACATGATGGATGTATTGGCACACAAATATCACCATGTATACGCTCTAAAAAACTTATAGATTCATTTCTAATTTTTGCTGGTGATGGCCGAATCATCAATTTCCCTTGCGAGCAAGAGTTGCATGAGAACTTATTTGATTGAATAATTTTCCTACTCGTTAATTGATGACCACGTGAATTTTTAATTATTTTTCGCATCATTATATAACCGGGATGGTCCAACCATTCATGCCAAATTAGACATTTATCATTATTTGTAAACTTCTGGTTTACAATTATATGTGCTTCAGTTGTACTAATATAAGTGTAGTACAAGTTAGAAGATAAATTTGGTAGCTTTTCAATTACACATTTTGTGTCTGAATTGTATTTTGTAATACAAAGATATTCAATCCATCCATCATATCCTTTTCAATATGGTATCCATTTAGGTGAATATTTTTAAAACTTAATAAATTTCTATGAGAGTTAGGGGAATATAATGCATTATCAATGTGAAATATTGTTCCTCCATGTAACAACATATTGGCTCTTCCGGAGCCTTCAATTATTTTCGAGGTGCCAGATATAGTACTGACATCAGTCTTTCGATTCACTAAATTATAGAAATATCTTTTATCCTTGAGAATTGTATGGGTAGTTGCACTGTCAGTAAGACACGTATCTTTATTACTGGTGCTAGTGTCCATATTTATTCTAAAAGCAATAATATTTTTTAACAATAAGTTATAAAAACACAAGTCATTTAAACAATAAATTATGTGAATAAACAAGTAGAAAACACACTTTACTATTATTAGAAAATAAAATTCAAAATATTCATAAACTTTATTTCTCGACACTTCCATCTCCAATAAGGTGATCAATTTTTCCATCTGGATCAGCAAAGAAGTCACCAATATCTAAATGGGTAACATCCATATCACCGTAATATGGATCATCATCTTTATTAGCCAAGTGAGTTTCAATTCTTGCCTTTTTATTTTTCAGTGATTTTTGATAAAGACCAATAAGGTGTTTTAGAGTACGTCACGTTCAACTCCAATGACCTTTTCCTCCACAACGATAATAAGTATTTTAATTGGTTTTGCTAAACTAGCCCCCTTTTTCATTCTTTTAAACATTTTTTCAACTCTGGTGGAAATATATGTTCTTATGATTACCATTGCGACTATGATCAAAACCAAGACCATGAGCATAATTACGACCACGACCATGTGGGCATGCACGACCGCGAACATGGTTTTTCCCATAATGATCGTGCATTACCACATTCACTTCTGGAAATAGAGTTGTACCAGTGGGACGATCCTCGTGATTTCTCATCAATAGTTCATTATTTTGCTCAGCCACAAGAAGACAAGATATTAGGTCAGAATATTTATTAAATCCTTTTTCTCGATATTGTTGCTGCAGGCGCATATTGGATGCATGAAAAGTGGAAAATGCTTTTTCTAACATATCTTCATCAGTTACTTTTTCTCCACATAGTGTCATCTTAGAAGTTATTCTAAACATTGCAGAATTATAATCACTTACACTTTTAAAATCCTGCAAACGTAAATACATCAAATCATGTTGAGCTTTTGGTAGGATTTTCGTTTTTTAATGATCATATCTATCTTTCAAATTTTTCCACAGGATATGTTGGTTAGTTACTGTAAGTTCAGATGCGTCTAAGAGGGGGGTGAAATAGGTTCTTTAAAACTTTTTCTGAATTGTATGAATATTTTTGCACAAGTTTCTTTTCTTTCTTTTTCTGATAAGTGATGAAAGCAGTAAATGCAGAAAGTAAAAAACACAGAGATGTATCTTGATTCCCCTCACAGTCCGAGAGTACTCTAGTCCCCTTTCAACATGAAAGAGATTTCCTTATAGTTGGTAATTTGTAAAAAGACTACCAAACAACCAAGAATAATCCTCTTGGACCAAGAATAATCCTCTTGGATTTTCACTAAGACCACAAAGAGAACAATCCTCTCTAAGTGTCTTTCTTGTTTCCAACAATCCTGAAAACAAGGATACAATAGTTTGTTTGATTTGTATAAGAGTTTGAATAATGAAAGAGCAATGTCAATCACTTGATTGGTCTTTTATATTCAATATGAAATTTAAGATGGAATACTCTTCTAAGTGCTCAAGAACAATTTTCAGTATACATATGAAAATGATGAACAGAAATCTTGAGTATAGAGAGTATGATTCAAAGAATAGAAAGTAATTGTTGTTAGTGATTGTTGTTGTATTTTCAAAATTCTAAACAAAAATAATTTATAGTGTAGTAGTACCTCTTCAATGAATCATAGCAATGTTTAAACCATTTTTACTAAAAAAATGTATTCGAAAAGATACAAAGATTGCCATGAAAAGGTGTTACAAAAGGTTGCTGGAAAAATGATATTTTTCAAAATCTGAGGCACAAAAATCGGTTGCACTAAAGCAACAACTGATTGCTGTAAAAGCAACGTTTAAAAATTTTGAAAAATATAACTATGACAACCGATTGTTATTGAGGAGCAATCGGTTGCTCATAGGCCAACGTTCAAAAAATTTGAAAACAAAACACATGACAATCAATTGCTGCTAGATGACAATCGATTGTTTGTCAAAACAGAAACTTTTGTTTTTTGACTGCAACCGATTGTCCTAGCATGACAATCGATTGCTTGTGTACAAAAATTGAAAAATCATTATTTTTTAAATATTTTAAGCAATTTAAAACATCCTTCTTCAATCATACATAGTATATACTCAAAATATTATTTTAATAAAGTAAATGCATGATTAAAAATAGTTTTGAGCACTAAGAGCATAAGATCAAAAATTTCATATACCTTAAGCCATAAGTCTTGAAAAGTTGATCTTGATCAATGAATCTTGCTTAAGATAAATCTTCTATCTTGATCCATTCATTTTTGCATGCTAGCTTGTCTTCATCAAAACATTTGGAAAGCTTGATTTCACAGTCTTCCCCTTTTTGATGATGACAACCATTGCTTGAAGTTTGGAGTGCATCTTGTTTTTCTCTAATCAAGTTGTTTAAAAACTCCCCCTAAGTCAAAGACTCCCCCTTGATCTATTGCATGAGGGTTTTGAAGATTGCTTGCTTGCTGCAATTTGGGTTAGAGAAACACAAAAGAAACTACAAAGTCTTCTCCCCCTTTGTCATTAGCAAAAAGGAATGGGAAAGAAGATCATAAAATTTTGCACATAGAAACAACATAGCATAAATAAAGTTTGCATACAAAGATATAACAAAAACAAAGTGCACAATACAAAAAGGATCACAATACATGAAGTGTTTTTAAACAAGAATAGAAAAACGAAATACAACATAAGAACATAAAGTACTAAAAACATAAGAACTTAAAGACTAATCATCCATGCCTTCAACAAAGTCTTCATCATCTTGATCTTCACCATCATTGCCTTCATTGGTTTGAGGTTGAATGAAAAGGTAATGATAGGGTTGAACTTCATAAGGAGGGACATTTGTATGGGCATAGAGATGAGCAAATTGAGTGTTCATGTTGTTGTTCATGTATTGAAGGTAGTCAAAAACTTGATTGAAAGAGTTTTCCATTGGTTGTGGAGGTTGGTTTTGAAGTGGTTGTTCTTGTGGAGGTTGGTTTTGTGGAGGAGTATGAATGTATGTGATGGTTCTATTAATCGAATCAAATTTGACGCCGGTTTTGGTATTACATACTTTCTTCGGAGTGATTTCATGTTTGGGGTTAGTCATAGGCACCATGTATTCACCAGACAAGGGAACATAGAACTTCTCAAAAACAAGGGTAAGCCAGGAGCCATAGGGCAAAGCAGAAGCATTTTCATTATGGAGTGCCAAGTGATGTAGAATCACATAAGACCAGTTGATTTGAATCCCATTCTTCATCGCATACAGAATCTGCATCTCACAATCATTGACATTGGAAATGTTTGAGAACTTTGGCATAACCACATACGCCAAAAAGTAGTGGATCAAACGATCATCAATAGTGAGAATTCCTGCAGACCAAGAGTTCCTCTCCGGAGTTCCACCAATAAGCCTTTGCATTTTCTGAATAAAATCACGCTCGGGAATTCTTGCAATTCCATAGTAGAAGTCTCTTTTGCTATAGCCAGGCAGATTTGCATTTGAGAGAAGTTTAATGCAAGCACCATCATGTGGAATACCCAAAGCTTCACCAAAATTCTGCACTGTGAATTCTATAGGAACCCCTTTGATATTTGAGATCATGCATCCTCTACTAATGGTTAGATTGATGTAGAAAATCCTAACCAAAGTGGGGTAAATGGGTCCATTAACACCAATTAAATTATATATCCCTTGAGATCTAAATAATGCTGGAAAACTGAAGCATTCGGAATAGAAGTTGTCAAGATTACCGAACCTTGGTAGAAGAACCGTCTTCTTCTGAAAGTGAGACATAAATCTTTCCCTTTGGATTCTTGATGGAATGAGTTTGGAGACATCATCACTTTGAGATGAGGAAGAAGCTTTTCCCTTGCCTTTCTTTGATATTGACATGGTGAGGGATGAGAGAATTGGAAGGGGAAAAGGGTATTTGGTGTTTTTAGGGTTTCTTGAGACAAAAGAGGATATATGAAGTTTTTAGGTTTTGGTTGGGCTTTTATAGATAGATAGACATTCAATGGATAGGTAAGGCATTCAATGGTTTAGTCAAAACAATAAAGACTTGTAGCATAGAGATTCTTGAGTGTGTGACTATCCAAAATATTGTGTCATAGGAAAAGACTAAGCATTAAAAAGTTATTGACCAACTACTTGAAACATTCAAAAAGAGAATAAAAATCTGGTACAAAATAAATAATAGTAATGGCAATGGAAGAGAAAGAATAAAAAAAGAGTGTAACTGAAAAAAAATAAAAAAATTCAAAATCTTGAACTGTGCAATCGATTGTTGTTTGATGACAACTGATTGCACCCTTTGAAAAATTCAAACAGGGGCGAAAAAATTGAGAGAGCAACCGGTTGTCGTGGAGTGATAACCGATTGTTGTGAAAACAGAAACTAAAATTTTTTAGCAACAACCGATTGTCATTAGTGAAAAAGTAAAAAAATACTTAATTTTTGGGGATTTCATGGTCATATATCAAAAATTTAGTAATAAAAACATGGATCATGATATATTACCATAAAGTTAAGATTAAGATCATAGCCATGTACCTTAATTAGATAATTTCATTTTCGTCCAAGATACCTAGCTCTCTTCGGATCTTGAAGAATGGTTCTCTTGCCAACGGTTTAGTGAAAATATCTGCTAGTTGATTATGCGTATCCACGAAGGTGACTTCGACATCTCCTTGAAGTACATGATCACGAAGAAAGTGATGTCGAATGTCGATATGCTTTATTCTAGAATGCATCACAGGATTCTTTGTAATGTTGATTGCACGTGTGTTTTCGCATCAGAGTGGAATGCATCCAAGGTCGAGTCCGTAGTCACGGAGTTGTTGCTTGAGCCATAAAATTTGCGCACAGCAACTACCCGCTGCAATATATTCCGCCTCGGCCGTACTAAGAGCCACACAAGCTTGTTTCTTGCATGCCCAAGAGACTAATGCATTTCCCAAAATGTGACAAGTGCCACTTGTGCTTTTTCTATCTATTTTACATCCTGCATAATCAGCGTCAGAATAACCAATTAAATTGCATATATTACCTTTTGGGTACCATAGGCCGACATTGGTTGTTCCTTTGAGATATTTCATGATTCCTCACAGAAATCTTCAAAGGAGGAATTCTGGAATTCTCCACCATGGTCGCTTCTTATGGAGGCATTAGATAGTGACTTCTCATTTTGAATTTGCTTTGCATATTTATTGAACGCCTTGAATGCATCATTTTTATGCACTAAAAAGAGTGTCGAAGTATATCTAGAAAAGTCATCAACAATAACTAGAGCGTATACATTACCTCCGAAGCTCCTCTTTCTAGAAGGGCCAAACAAGTCCATGTGAAGCAATTGTAGTGGCCTAGTAGTGGACACCACGTTCTTGGATTTGAAAGTTGATTTTGTTTGCTTTCCCTTTTGACATGCATCGCAAAGTCTATCTTTGATGAACTTTATCTTAGGCAGTCCAACAACAAGGTCATGCTTAATCAATTTGTTTAAATGCTCCATATGAATATGAGCGATTCTTTTGTGCCATAGCCATGAGTCGTTGTTGTTTGCCATGAGACATTTAACCTTCAAAGACAAATCGTTAAGGGAAATCATAAAAATATTATTTACTCTTTTACCTTTAAGTTTAGCCTCATGTGTGACTTCATCTTCTATCAAACATTCATCTTTAGTGAACTTGATCTTGAAGCCTTTGTCACATAGTTGGCTAATACTTAGAATATTGTTCTTTAGTCCTTCGACATAAAGAACATCTTCAATTGATGTGAAAGGTGGACCACCAACTTTGCCTATGCCAAGAATCTTTCCTTTGTTGTTATCTCCATACGTCACATAACCCTTGGCCTTAAGCGTTAGATGTGAAAATTT